TGGATGAAGGTCCATCCTTGGGTTGGGTTGGTGTCTCCAAAACCACCGAGTGACTCCGTGGAACCCCAAAACACCAACTGTGACCCAACAATCGGTTTCATTGGATGAAGGTCCATCCATGGGTTGGGTTGGTGTCTCCAAAATCACCGAGTGACTCCGTGGAACCCCAAAACACCAACTGTGACCCAACAATCGGCTTCATTGGATGAAGGTCCATCCTTAGGTTGGGTTGGTGTCTCCAAAATCACCGAGTGACTCCGTGGAACCCCAAAACACCAACTGTGACCCAACAATCGGCATCAGGGGATGAAGGTCCATCCTTAGGTTGGGTTGGTGTCTCCAAAACCACCGAGTGACTCCGTGGAACCGCAAAACACCAACTGTGGCCCAACAATCGGCTTCATTGGATGAAGGTCCATCCTTGGGTTGGGTTGGTGTCTCCAAAATCACCAAGTGACTCCGTGGAACCCCAAAACACCAACTGTGACCCAACAATCGGCTTCATTGGATGAAGGTCCATCCTTGGGTTGGGTTGGCATCTCCAAAATCACCAAGTGACCCTCTGGGACCACGTGACCTGACTGTGACCCAATAATCGGCTTCATTGGATGAAGGTCCATCCTTGGGTTGGATTGGCGTCTCCAAAATCACCGAGTGACCCCCTGGCACAACATGATCCAACTGTGACCCAGCAATCGACATCAGGACATGAAGTTCCATCCTTGGGTTGGGTTGATGTCTCCAAAATCACCGAGTGACCCCCCAGCACCATCGTGGTTTCCATTGGCTTTGTCTTCTTGGAAAAGACATCCTTGGCCGTCCTGGAACGCCGTCGGGGTCAAAGATGGGATTCTTCTCAGTGTTCTTGGACGCCGGGAAGCTGCCGAACCACGTGATCCGACTGTGAGCCAGCAGTCGGCATCGGTGGATGAAGGTTCATCCTTGGGTTGGGTTGGCCAAGCTGAGTCACCTCTGGAATCACCAGATGATCCCCTGGGCTCACCAGGACTTTGCCACTCGTGGTCTCCGTTGGCTCCGTGGTCTCGGCGAAGGGTCTCCCCAAGCATCTGGTGCTCCGGGCACGGTCGAGATGGGAATCCTCCGATCCCGCTCCGTCCCCTCAACCCCCCGTGGCCACGTCCAGCTCATGCCAGGATTCCTCACAGAAGGAGACTCAGAGGAGGACGGAGAAGATCCTCGTTTATCTTCCCAGAGGAGCAACACCCGGAATGTGGGTTTTGGAGAAGCCCAACCGGGATGGTTCCTCTTCCAACCCAAAATCAGAGCGTGACTCGTGTCACGGGGCTTTTTTTGGGAGCTGATGTTTATTCCCACCCGGTCCTGGATTATCCGGGGCTTTTCTCCTCTTCCCACTCGAGTTTCTCCTGAATTTGGGGTTTCTTCCCCATCCCGGGAGCGCTTTGATCCTGATCCGAGTAGGACGGGAACTGGGGGGTCGTGAAGCCGCCTCTGCTCCCCAGGATCCGCTCCCAGGCGTGGTTTATCCATTGGGATCATCTGCTGGATCATCTTGTCTCCAGCTCTTGGCCTTGGATCTTCCCCGGGATGAGCAGCGAGTCCCGCGGAGCAATTCCATCCTCAGGGAAGAGGAACTCGGCTCTTGGGCTTTCTGGAAAGGCCCATCTGGAGCTGTGGATGCTCACCAGGACCATGGACACCCATCTGGAGCTGTGGATGCCCATCCCAATCCATGGACACCCATCTGGAGCTGTGGATGCCC